TCGAGAGTAGTCCATTGTATATGCGATCGGTACGAAAACCATGGCGGGAGAAGAGGCGAGAATCGAAAAGAGAGTTTTCCCTCCTTTTCTTCGAGGACGCCGGGACCGTTTTTGTAGATCGAAAAACATCGATAATCCCATCAATCACGCCCGTGAGAATAGCCCCAATCTCCCAGCTTCAATCCAGCTTCCTTGTCCCTGTACGTTATATAGAAATACGGCTGTTTCTCTAGAATTCACTGTACACCATCGTTAGACTAGGCGACGAACTTTCGCTATCACTTCCACGCCACAGTACAAAAGAGCTGCGAGGTGCAGTTTCCCCGGTCCTACTTCGGGGAAACTTGCCGCGCGTTTTTGTGGAAGAGGATAAGAGAGTCGCGTATCTCGAACACAGATGGAAAGCAACAATGCTGTTACACGACGACTCGGAAGATATTCATTTTAATCGTGGAACTTGAGAGAGTCGCTCATTATCCTTTCACTGTTCTCCTAACATAGTAACGCTTGCAGAACGCGGCGAACGCCGTTTCGTTTCCATACACACACACACACGTACCACATAAGCGTACCGATATTTCGATGGTATAAATAATACGAGGCTAAGTAATAATAAACGAAGATCTACCGTGTAAAAATTTGTAAAAAGTGTATTTCGAATTATGTAACGTTTGTTTTACATAATAATTACGTAAAAGATGATTAGAATAAAAAGAGATCGCGAGTGATTAAAGTAATAGTCCGAAGAATTGACTCGTCGAGAATAATACATGTCGCGTCTCTTTCCTCGTTTTTGCTGTTGTGATGAGCAATGAGGAATTCTCGGTCCGATTATTTATGGATATATATATAAAACTAGAGATTACGTACTGCCTGATCTTTTCCTTTTGTGCAACACTAGACTTCACGATGTTTCGCAAATGCTCTTGTATGGCAGCTGGCAATACAATTCTACCTAATATCTGTAGTATACTGATATTCAAATATATCAATCTCTCTGTATCTTTCGTTATATTTCTTACGACAGACGGTGGAACGATGCAAACAGGACGCGCTTGTTCTCATTGAGACCCGATTTATTCTATGTAGCAGCAAATTTAAATTTTTCACAGCCTCTTAGAAATCTCTTTCTAGTTTAACGTAAAATGATAATGTACACAGAATTCTTTATTTCCTTCTACATACAATAGAAGTGTTAAGAATGCAATACGCGATCTTTTTCTTTGTAACCGTAACAGTGGTCTCAGTGGAATAATAAGAATTTAAAATTCAAGCTTATTATCTGATAAATTTCATTTTCGAACATGCAATAGCTCGAGTATTCAGGTGTTGCATACGGCTTTGTCACTGTGAATGGGTTTATGTAAATAATAGCGGATATTAAACATAAGAAAAAAATGAAAGAACGATGTTACGACGAGGTATTTTTTCCAATAAGGTACACGCTTTAATACCTTCCTTACGTTTGTGTAACCTGTAGGCTGTATTTGAGATAGTGTAAAAGACTATCGAACGAGAACTTGTTCTACTATGTTGAATTATGATTATTGTTTATTTGACTATTATAAAGACGAGTAATGGTCATGTGTACATAATTTTGGAGAATTAAATAAAATATTAATAATGGTGCTTTTCTTAGCTTCTAGTTTTTTACTCATACCTTTGTACTGTAGAACTTGGGAGCAGCTGCTTTTAAAGTATATATCACAAAAGAAATCTACTATGTACATTTAAGCGTTAACGTGATACATATGGATATAGTGTGCACAGTTATGAGCAGCCGTGGAAAATTATTATTAACTTATGTAACGTGGCGATAAGTTAAGATTTAAATTAAAACTAACAGCTATCGATATCACTTTCTCTATCGTTGTTTCTCGACTATGTTATCGTTGTATAAAATATTATGCTAATAGCAGAGCGTTTGTGCAACGCGTTTAATATTTCGCGACGTAAAAAAATGTATGTACATCGTGATTCATCGCATGTGTAAAATCGTGTAATCTTTGGAAAAAATCGGCGCATCTTATTCCGGTGGTATCTCGACACCTCTGCCCAGTCCCGACCACCTGTCGGGCACCGACAGGAAGTAACGATGCATCGCGGCGATGAACCTGGCGCGATACTCCTCCGGCGATATTATGGTCGGCAATTTGCCCTGACCACCCAGTATACCGGACTTCTTCACCATAGTCTCCAGCTTCTTGTCCCATGTAAACGTTCTTATGTAATCTGCCGATTGAAAGAAATAATCGATAAAAAATGAGAGAATATGAATCGCTCAATAAACACGAGCATATAAATTAAAAATATAAATATTGATTTTTGCATAAATCCAAAACTTTGCAAACTTGTATAGTAGTACTTGTATAGATGAGTGATTTATATGAAATCTTTGACACAAAATGAGTTATGTGTGTATTTAAAAATTGATAAATTCTTATGATTGTGTCCTTCCAACGTTGAAATTTATATGTTGAGTCGCGCTTACCTATTATACCAAGAACAAGTTCGTCGGAGCTTGGTTCCAAACCTACTAATAACGAATAGTCCATCACGGAGTTGTCGGCTAGAAACTTGGTGTCCTGCTCGATGGCCACGTTTAACACTGCCTTGGAGTGCGATCGGATATATAGCGGAGAGTCGCAGCTCACTGCAATGCGAGAAGAACTTGTTACATGTTGCAACTTTTTATACTTATTCGCAAACAACTGAAAAATACACACTGTTCAGTAAATTCTCGTCTAGCAAAACCAATTCACCCTCGTGACACATATCGTCGGGATTCACTAGCCGATTCCGCACGGATCCCTTCAGGTCAAACTTGTCGGTGATGATTCGCTTGTAAAACAAGTTCTCCATCACTAGCACACTGGTGCGAAGCGCCGCGTTGGTCGTGTTGTTTTTAAACGACACCCTGTACACACCGACTATTTTGCCGAGCAACGTCGGCTGCTTGGTTTGCTGACACCTCTCCATGTAGGCGAAATAGTTTGGCGCGAAGTCGAGAAAGATCTGCATCTCGAGTCGAGACATTTCCTTTATGATAAACCTGTCATCTGTAAAGGAAATTATCTTGCTATTATGTTGGACAATGCGTACAAATTTAATATTAAATATAATATTTAAAAGATGCATATTCAAATATATTTAAAGTATTTAAAGTACTGAACAAGACGATTAGAAAGCAGTTTTGTATTAGCGTGAAATTTTACAACATAAAATAATCCATACCTCTACTCTTGCAAAAGGCGCTACCGCTCTTTCCGCCCCTCGCGGCCCACTGAACGCTCCGACTGAGGCTTCTCGTGAAACCGTCCTCTCCGCAGGGCAGAACGTTCTCCCGCAGAGCAGCGAATTGCGCGGCGAAGTATATCCTGCAGAAGAAATTGGTCGTGGCGTCATTGAACTGCACCTCGATGTAATTCTGCTGCTTTATTGCTTTTTTGTCGTCGTCAACATCGGGACCGACGGCGCCGCTGCTACCGTTGAATTCCACACTTGATACATTCTTGTCGGACTCGATGGGACTGCTGGCGGCCGGATTAGGGCTGTTGCCGCGGAAGAAGGACAGCACGGACGGTCGCTTGAATTCTCCCGATTGCACCAGATCAAGCGAACTGTCCCTACCCTCGGGAAACTTGCGCTTGCTCAACGGACTCGGATTGAAATCCGGCCCTTTGGTCGTGCGCAGCGATTCTTGCAAGGCGTGTTTGTAATCGTGCGAGTCCAGCGCGTACGCGATTATGGACGACGGCTCGGACTCGTAGACCACTATGGGCACCACCGATCTGCAAACAGAAGCGCGAATTATTTTTCAGTCTAGAGAGATCTACGATTTCTGAATTATGTTTGCTGTCGTTACCCGAGTGGCAGCAAGTAGTGCTCCAAAGGCCCCAGTGGATTCGATATCGTGTGATTCACGGAGACGGATGGCAGCAACTGCGACAGGATCGTCTTCTTCTTTTTCTTCTTATCGTGCGAGTCATCGGACGACAACGGCAGAACGTCGGAATGCGATCTTTGGTGCATCTTCGGCGAGCCCTGCATCTCGTCGGGATTGTTGGTGGACTCCAGAAGCTCGTTGTCGGAGTTCTCCACCAGCTCGGACGCCTGGAAGTCGCTCTGCACCGCCGTGATCGCGTCGACGGCATTGTAATCGGCCGACATCGGGCTCAGATCCTCAACCTGCGACTCCGACGCGGTGTCCTCCGTGATGTAGCCGTCGGTGTCGACCACGCTGTTGCTGCCGGCGGTCATGGATCGCTCGGTGAATCGGCGCGGCCGCTCGTCCTTCTTTCTGGCTGACATCTCCGACAGTTTGTTATTCCACGTAAACACGGCCTCCGAGATGAGCCGTTTGAGGATCACAATGCCGTCCTCGATCCGGAACATCAACGTTTGCACCTGTCTCTCGGATGTCTTGCCTTCGAGCTTCTTGTTCTCCAACGTCGGCGACGTCAGTTTCAGCTGAACTTCCTCGATTTTGTTTTTAAAGTACTGCTGATCCTTGGCGAGCTGTTGCTTGGCAAGATTCAAGCTCTCCAGATCCGTCTGGCTCACGAGTTTCTCCCGTATCGCTGTGAACACCTCGTCGCCTTTCAGCGCCACGCTCTTCATCTCCTCGATCACGTTGGCGTGCTGCTTCGGATCGTAGATGATGTTGATCAGCGGCGGCGGCAGCGAGATCTCCCACTGCGAGATCTTGGTGAACTTGAAGACGGCCAGCATATTGCGGCGCGTGAAATATTGATAGTGATCGTAGTGCAACGAGTGCTGGCACGCGTCCACGCCGCGTTTAGAGTACACGCCACCGTAGAAGCGTAGCTCGAGATACTTGGCGAACGACAGGCACCAGGTGTCGCCCGACATCGGCACCACCGGCGACACGCTCTTACACTTGACGCATTTGCTCCACGTGAGAATCTGATCGGCGTTCTCCTGCACGAACGGCTCGGAGCTCATCTCGCTGAGGCTGATGTGCAAGCAACCACCGTCATGAGCGAAGCGCCGAACATGCTGGGCGATCTGCGCGCGGCAGGCCCGCGCCGGACACTTGTACTCCGTCGTCAGGCAGTAACGCTCTAGGAAGCGGCCGAGTGCGATGTCATTCTGCCCGTACATCGTCATATTCACCACCCAGGGATTCACGCAGAACGCCGGTGTGTCGTTTCCGGTATGCGAGAAGCTGCAGAACAGCACGGACAAACGCTGATGGCTTGCGGGGTCTAGGCAGTCCGGCCACGAAGGAATCAGCTGCTGCTCGTTGCTCTCGGCGGATGTTGCCGCCGACTGCAGCGCCTTATCCAGCAGCACGTTGTGCGTCGGGTAGAGTCGACTTCCGCGCGCGCGGAAATCCGCCAGAAGGCTCTGCACCTCGCGATTATCGGCGTCCGTGGTGAGGCGTATCTGCGCGAACGGATGCTGCAGCTTCAGCATGACGCTCGTCCGCTCGCGACTGTCGGACGCGAGCTGCTCGCTCACGCCCACGCTGTTCGTTCGGGTCTCCTTGACCTTGTCGAGGAATTGCGTCGAGTAGAAGATCTCGCGCGGGAAGAAGCTCCGCAGCACGCAGTTCCGCCCGATCTCGGTCTCCAGATAAGGAATGGAGAACTTCAGATACGGCGACACGCTCAGCACGGTGTCCTGAAGCGCCTTCTTGAACTTGTTAAACAGCGGGAAATCGGCGACACTCAGACGCTGACCGTTCGGACTGGTGTGATTGAACACGTCCTCGTCATCTTCGTTCAAATATTGATGCAGTGGATCGCTCCGGTCGCTTATGGATTCCCCATAAATGCGCTTTTCCTCAGAAGATATCTTGTCCTTCAATCTCGCCTTATCGAGTTCCTCGGTCTTTTGGTCGACATCCTTGTTCGTGAACAAGGTCGCGCTATCGTTATGCTCCTCCGCGGCGTCGGAAACGAGACCTGAAGAATGATCCTTGGATTTATCATCATTAGCTGTATCGTTCTCGCAAGATGTTGGCATTGCGTCCTTCGCGTCTTGTAAAGACGGTTTCAATTTCGTCTTAAATAACTTTAAAGTGTCGTAAGGATCGGAATCCTCGGACAACATCGACGACACTTCTCTCAGAGAGTCCACGCTTAAGATATTCTCGGAGCTACGAGTATCCTCGTCCTTTACGGACGTGCTCGGATTATTTGACTGAATATTTCGTGCACTCTGCTCACCGCTGAGTGCGGCTTCTTGATCGTGATTTAGTTTCGATGGTTTCTTCACATCCATCGCATGTTCGTCGATCACGTGATCTTCGAGTTTCTTTGACTCCTCGCCGCTTAAAGAATCTTTCTGCGATGTTTCATCTAGGAACGAATTGTCCTTAGGCGACGGCGGTTTAGCGAACTCATCCATGAGAAATGACTTTTCGAGACGCCACGAGTAAGCTGCAAAGATCATCATTGACGTAACGTTCTTCACCTTCTTCAATTCGGTCTGCGAGCCGCCTCGCAGTAATATCGTCGCGCCCAGATGCGGATTTGCACAGCCTTCAAAGTACATCAGCGTCTTGATGCCTCCTGAGCATCAAAATTACAAAATTAATAAAGATGATAAAATTTCTATATGTACTATCGCTCAAAAATTTAGAGAGAGCACTTTATAATGTCAAAGATATCGACATCAATTTATAAATATACGGTATTAAGTAACAATTCTGATAAAGACAACAAAAAATTAAATATAATTGAATGTCGATAAGAAAAATTAACTTTTTTTTTGCAAAAAAGAAGTACATCACTTACTTCGTTCGTCAGGAAAATTTCTTAAATAAAACTTCTTGCACGTGCCCAGCATATATCTCGCGCTTATGTGCGCGTCTATAGTGTTTACGATATTAGCGCCCGTGCATCGCGCCACTCTTTTAAGTACGCTGAGCTTCACGTTCAAAACTAACGTTACGCCACATTCTCTCAGCTTATCCTGAGCCAATCTGGCTACGGAGCGATGCACGAGTACCACATCCGGACCTAGAGCGGTGATTCTCGCTACCGTATGTCCCAAGTACTCGCTCTCCTAAAAATTCAGGGAAATGCAATATTAAATAGCAATCTTTAGAAGTGAAGAAATCAAGATTGATTAAAAATAATAAGAAAATTAGAAATTGATCGCATATTACCTGCAGCATTACGGGTTCCAAGCTTATCAATTTGCCCTCCACGCGTTGATACATTAGTCCGCACTGCAACAATAAGATCTTCGGATGCGCGATCATGGCGTTCATGCCGCGATGAGCGATATTCTTGCTGCAAATCACGCCGGACACGATCTCGCAGTCGTCTCTGCTGCCGCCGGGACACTTTTTGAATTGCACGTACTGTCGAATGTCCAAATTGTCAGCATCGTGATTTAAATCCGGCCTGACATGGTCAACTATCTGATGTGCGATGGACAAAATTGTGTTCGACCACGTTTGCGACAAGCCTTCCTTACTAAGCAATTGCTTAATAAGAGAATCTTCGTGCGCTTTATACGCAGACCTGCGATATCGTTTATATCTCCATTATTATTATTAATTGCAGTATAAGTTTTGTTATTATATACATATTATTTATTATACTTAATAATTTATCATACTTAATATTATACTTGATAAGTTAACAGTCGGTGCATAAAAAAAAAAGAGAACTTACGTCAAACACTCGTACGCGCTTATCTCGCCGAAAGCTGTTCTCAAATTAGTCGCTCTGTGCCAACCGTTCTTTTCCTTGAACTCGTGTACTTGAAGCGTGTCGCTTAACAAGTCGTCGCATATCTTAAGGTTACAGTCGTGCGGTTTAAGATTGATTTCTTTTTGCTCGATTATGCCGTCACTGCTGTCCACGGAAATTACAGTTAAATCTTCCGAGGTTGGTCTTTTCAACGTGACGGTAGACGCTTCTAAATTTAAATCCAAGTAAAAACTCGAACTAGACGACGGCAAACGGCCGAAAGTTTGCGATTGCGAGCTCATCGGCTTGGTCTCGCTCTCGGAATCTGTAACGAGAATCGATCGTTGTTGTGCGTGCCGTGCTTGAATAATTGCTTGTCTCATAACTTAAAATCTTAATTCGTCGCATTACCGGTAGTCGAATCATGCTGAGGAATAGTCTTTACCCATGCTGGTTCTTGAGCATCGCATGTCGTCCGTTTTTCGGTTAATAAATCTATATTTTGCAAGGAGGATAATTGTACTGGTCTAAATATGGTCGCCGTGTCACTGAACACGTTATCGCCAATAACCGGCTCGATAAAGCCCGCTTCCAACAATGCCTGGCCTATCGCAGTTGCCTGCACACTAAAAAAGGAGCAGTCACATGAGTGATAATTGAAGCGTTAAAAATAACTATCTAATTAGATCAAGTTACTGAGTTTCGACAAAAGCCATATTGAAATTATCGCGTTACAATGAAAATATATATGATTTAAAAAATAAAGCACAATATTTATATTATATATTATTATATATAATTTAATTTGTTGATCAGATACCTACCGAGTGGCTGCTTTGTTTTGAGCTATCATCCAATTCACCAGTTCGTTTGCTAAGAAACAATTGTAATAACTTTTTAATCGAATTCTATGCGTTTGCAATTGTATGGCTTGACTAGACCGGAATAATTCCTCCCAGATCATCCTTAAAGAGGCCGAATTTTGTAACGCGAGCGAGCGTTCGTGCAATGATAGATAACTATTGCCCGATCTGCAACAAAAATTTAATGCACAATAAGCGATATGTATAAAATTTAGACATAGACATACATAAATTGATTTCTACCGTCCAGTCGCGTAATTCTCCTCCATGTATCCTACACTCGGCTTTCGGCATATCGACGTTTCGTCGCCCATCGATTCGTTCGTATGCTTTCGAGTTAACAGCGGTGAATCGTTTCCGTATTTTACTTGAAGATCCTCCTGCAGCGCTTTCAAGTCCGCTGATAAATCACTTCTCATATCCGACGATTGCAGATAAGAAAGAACTACTTTACAGCAATATGTACAAACTCTAAGGTCTCCTGAAAAAAATTTATATAGTATTCAATAAATCATAAAGCATAATCGACTAAAATTTCTTATAAAAAACTACTAAAAGATATAGAATATGTTTTTTTTTTCTATTAGATGTGTAGTTTACAATATATATATTTGTATTTATAAAAGATTTGTACTTCCTCACCTGTGCATCCCATGATTTTCCCTGGTATCTGATCAGAGCAACACTTTGAGCAGAAAATTTGCCCGCACACTCGACAGTGGTGTTTCCTTCGAAACGTCGTGAATCTCTCACCGCACTCGTAACATTGTTTACTCACGCTGTCGGGCATCCAGTAACTCCTTAACTGAGAATCTTTGTACGAACGTAGATTCTATAAAACGATGCAAAGAATAGTTTATATAAGAGTTGTTAAAATTTTATAAAAAAGAATATAAAATAATTATATGTAGTGCAAAAGTTATTATAACAAATACATTATTACTTACATTACTTTTCAATGCCACAATATTGCTGATACGTTTCAGAACATTTGGCAAACTACGGCCCTCACTGGTATCTAATGGAAAATTTATCATGCTAGTGCTGTCATCGTCGGGTGTTTGTTCTGTGCTCTCCGATTGCTTCCACGATTCGGAATCAGAGGAGCTACGTTCATCATTGTTAGAAGATACAGTAGAATCATTAGTGTTTGGTGAATCTGAAATCATTAAGTACATTGTCAATGATTTTTCAGTTATTGTAATGGATAAGATTAAATATTAAAGGCATTGTTTAATTATAATAACAAAGAGTGTAGCTCATTTAGTAAGAATTAATGATAAAAATTTTTGGATGATATTTAGTTTGAATAACAAATCAAAAGTATCCTAGCAGAAGTGTTAATATAAATAAAAGTGTTAAAGATAATTACATATATAAAATTTCTTACTGGTTTCTTTCCAAAAAACTTTTGAACATTTTTTATTTTACAATCGGAGTTTAAAATTTACAATACATCCAAATAGAAAACTTAAATCACAAATTCTCATCAAAATTCAAAGTTTTCTTGTGGGAACTTTAAATTCCAATTTCTCATTAACGGTTTAACAGTATGTTATCAGTATTATCAGTATAAAATATTTCTCTTATTCTTGATTTCTATTAAGTTGTTCTCGAATTCTTAAAAAACGAACCCGTACTCTTAGCATACAATAATTAACGTAGTAACAATCGGCGATAATGAAATATGATTAGAAACACTTAGTTCCTTCTGTCGGATACTCACTTCTAGTGAAGTTGAAGAACTTTGAAAAGATCGACGCTACGACAGGTTGACTCTCCTCGGGACTCAACGGAGCGAACTCCGTGAGTTTCGATGGCGAATTCATATTTTTGTTCATTCTCGACGATACTATCTTCTCGCATACATCTTGATGTTAAAAGCTCGGATATTTGATGGCACGCGCTCTTCCTGTTGATCCTGCTGTTTTCAATCCTGCCGATACCGATGTGACGCATGTAAATGTATACACAGAGAACAGTTTTGACAGGCGATCAGATGATTGCGATGACAACGACCACTGGTTTCATTTCTTTGTACTTCATATGCCTTTTCAACATCAATGCAGCGGCATCTTTCGTTGAATCTTATGAAGCTCGAAGCAACTGATGCATTGCTCTGTCAATAATAATCTGCTTATCCTTATTTTGTTGTTACAAAATAATTGTATTTATAAATAAGGAATTATATATATAATACCTGCATTAGTGTAATAAGATGTTTTAATTCTAGTTTACAATTTGAAAATTATCACTACTTGAGCATTTCTATGTAAAGGAAGTTGCCCATCCTGTCGCGAAGTAATTGCGGTTTATCAGCATTATGTTATAGAGCATTATGTTTCAATGCGATAAGTTGGCGCCATTTTAACGTGTTCTAATGAATGTCACCTAAGTGAAAGAAAAGTTTTATAAACTTTTAGTTTCATATTTTATTATTCTTACAGCAATTTTCAATACGATACAGAATGTAGAAAGATAACACAATGTCATACGGCTGAGGAATACACAGTATGTCGCTTAGTATGAGGATACAACTTTAAAGATACTTCAATAATTTATATAACCATATTTATATAACCTGCAATAGAAGTGAATAACGCAGTATGTTCAAAGATGAGTATAAAATTCTTTTTGTATTATCCATTAATCGAATAAGTCTATTTACAAGAATAATACCGATTTATTTGTGAACTAAGAATCGTAAAATTTTGGCTGAATAAGAACGTCGATTGCGGCTCTGACGATGATGCTGTTTTGTAATTAATGCAAATCGGTAAAAATAATACCAATGTAATTATTGGAACTATAAAACGCGGCTGCTTTGACTGAGTTTTTAAAGTTGCTTCTTATTTGCAGGCCTTATTTCTTCATCGTTGTTAAATGTTTGTAGATGTGCCAGTGCTAGCTAAGCACTCACTCTCAGACGATTCTATTTACCACCCTGGGTGCGTCAGGCCTCGCAGCTGCGCAGGTGTATCGTACCTGCCCCAGCACCTTCTCATCAACATCTCAGAAAAGCCAGTCACGCCAGAAGGAAGGCTTGGCTCAACTTGCTCGCTCCTCCCTTCATATCTTTCCTTTTCTTCGTTCCTCGCGGACACGAGGAATCCTTCGTTCTCTTGACTGCCATCATCCTGGGTCCTTTAAAAGGTGATTGTTGCTGGACAGGACGATGCGATGGGCGAAGGCAAAAGCGACCGTTCTGGCAAAAGGTAACATTTCGCGCGGCTTCTTACCAGCCGCGATCGAAGTATATACACGTTGCACTGTTTATAACTTTAACTATTTAACCCAGGGGGAGGGTCTATAGAATAATCATTTCCCACGCATGTTGTTTTGTTCCGCAATGATTTATAAATGGCAAAGTTTGAGATAATGGAATATTATGACGTTAACAATATATATTAGCAATTTCACGAATTTTGAAGAAAAAAGAGCAAATTTTTTTTGCAAAATTGGTTTTCTTTTCTTTCTCCATTAAATAAGTATTTTTTGTGCAAGTTTATGTCGAAAACAATCCACTAATTAAAATGAACTTTTTGCAATAATCAAAATGTCGTTATTTTTTTTTTGAAGATGTATTTTTATAATAAGATTTTTTCTATAAGAAAATGATTGATGTCTGCTTTTAACTCTCACTAAACAATTATTTGTCTCTTTCCAGTTCAGTTTTATCCTACACTTGAAAAATTATTTTATATGAGGAGTTATGGCTCTTTTGGTGAGTTTTATTCAATTGCTGTAAATTACTGCAGCGATATGCAGATATACCGCAGAATATACGATTTACGCCAAGATAAGACCTATTTTATAAACAGTGGAACCGTATGTGTGCTGCTAATAGCGCGCGTTTCAAAATACACATTCAAGATTTAGGGCACGGCACATGCTCTATGTGTGTATACGAAGTATCCCTAATTAGATGATTGCTCCTAACGATTTTCATTAATCTATATCGAAGATTATTCACGATTATCAGCATCAACTTTAATTTCCCGTTTGCGCGCGTGATACTTTCGATAATCTCCTTAATACGATAAGTGGCAAGCACTTCGCGGTCGTGGGTGTGCTTTCAGTCGAGTGATCATCGCCTAAAGTCGTTTAATCCCATTTTCTCCGATCGCGCCAGTCACGCCTGCACAATGATGTAACAGCTCAAAAACGCGTCGATAGCGTTTACCGCATTAATTTCTTAAAGCAGTCAAAGATGTTTAATTTCAAAATGACGAATGTACCACTAAATCTTTATAAAATTTCTGAAGGAAATCCCATAAGGGATTTAGAATTTCTAAAGGGAGTCCAAGACAGTTTAGGCTTTTATATCTTTTAATGACAAAATACTTCTTTTTTCAGGAAAAACAATTAAGACACAAGTTAAAACTTGTGAAAATATATGAAGCAATATTTTATTCTAAGATTAATGAAAGATAAGCGAGAGCATAAATATTGCAATATTGCTAAGTAAAATGTTCAACTCGGCTCGGTTTCTAATTAGAACTCGCTGATTCGAAAAGCTCAGGGTGAGGCGAGGGAGATGGGCGAGACTTTTGATGGCCACGGCCTGGATTCCACCTACTAAGGAAGCTCGCGTGCAAGCACCAGCGGTGGTTGCGGCGGCTCTGTAAAATGCGTTCAGATTGAATCACGCACCAAGGCTGCAGAACAACTGACCGGCCGGCCGGTATGCTGGATCACGAGTTCGCCGAGTGCGTGCGACCACGTGGCTCGGACATTAATTTAGCCGCGCATACAAATTTGTCGTGCGCGAGGGGGGGGGGGAATTGGCGTGGGGAGCAGTAAGTAGAGCCGGTTTAAAATCGGGGCCATTGGGTCGAAACGAAACGTGGCTCGGCTTTGCGAATTGACCTGGAATAAATCGTACCGTGCTGAACGAGAGAGAAAAATGTAAATGCGATGCGAAAAGAAAAGCCGACGCGAAATCAGATCGATAACGTTGTCAACTGCTTCGTGCGAGGAGTTGAAGAGCCGGGGACAAAATATATTGGCAGCGGTGGGATTCGAACCCACGCCTCCGAAGAGACTGGTGCCTTAAACCAGCGCCTTAGACCGCTCGGCCACGCTACCATATACGAATTGTTCCCCCTCACACCGACATGCAGGGTCATTTTGCTAATTATGGGGTGGCTTTGATTGTTTATATGATAACTATTGCTTGAATTTATATTAAGTGCGTGTAATACCTTCGAAATATTTTACAATATTCCACGATAAAGCAAATCAACGTGTCAGATTCTTATCGATTAAACGTATTTTATACTTTTCTTAATATGAGAGAAGCATTCTCTTTGTTGTTTTTTTTTTTATTAGATTTTATTCATTCTGATAAAATGCGAATAGTTGATTAATATTAAATATTAATATAAATATTAAATAAATAGCACATTCATCGTCATCATTTTTCACTTATTTTTTTTTTTCAGAACCGTTTTTTGATAATTAAACTCCACCAGGAAATAATTTCTCTACTTTTCGGGATTTCGATATGGAGCGCAATCATTCAAACCACGGCATTTCGGAAACATCTTATAAATGTCACGACGCTTGTCCTGGACAATAATATGCGAGGGTTGACGTGCGCGCGAGCCATTACGCCAGGATGAGATTTATTTTTCAAGCTCCCGCGTTTCGCAAATCGATTCGTCGCGCCTGGGAGAGCCGTTGTAACGGCATGTACGGTGCTTTCGTACCATTCTCTTCCTGTTTCTCGTTCGCCCTGTGCCACCGCGCCACTCCTCGCCGGCCCACCCTCTCTCGCATCCCTTGATTCGCGACCTCGGTTTCAGTCATTTTTAGTAAGCTCAGATCGTCCATCCGCTTCGCGTCGCGCGAATCGTCTCGGCTGTTTTGAATATTCGAAAAGTCGACAATCCGGATCAGCGAAGTTCCAAGCTTTAACAAAATATTTGGAAAAAAAAACTTGACGAATAACTCTTTAAAATACAATTAGCTGTTAAACGAAGTAAATTGTGTATAAAATTATTATGAAACTCACGATACCGCTTTGTAATTGAAATCACGAGCAGGCAGAGATCCTCGTCTCGTGGCGTCGGCAAGTCGTCCTCGGATTCGGAGATAACGCACGGCAGAGGCAAGGGGAAAGGACGCAGGGGCAAGACCAAGGAGAGATGGCCGTTCCTCGAAGGACTGACGGTCGACGAATTGGCTCGTTACCGGAGGAGACGCGTGCAGGATCGGCCGAAGGACAATCTCCAGCCTCACGCGGACTTTGCGGTCCAGAATCCTGCGTCTGAGTACCGGCATGCCTTCGGTGTAAATGTCGTGGAATTTTCTAAGGTATCTATAAGGTACAACTTTGCTCTTCACAAGAACCCTTCCGTTAGTCGTTAATCTTATTATTGTATTTATAAAAATGTAGCGCACAAATTTCTTCTCAAACATAATTTGAGTATATTATGACTTTAAGAGATAAAATTTTGTGATTTAGAAATAAGAGGATGATATATATCAAAATAATTTATATTAACAGCGTGTATCATGTAATAGGAAGATGTATGGCCGATAGAGGAGAGGAAACCTGAGGAATATTTAGACGAAGAAAGAGCTCTCGAAGATGCGCACTCTTCGTATTGCGTGGATCTTGAAGAACGCGAAGCGATCGAGGATCCAACTGCGAACGAAGAGGGTGATTTCTCACCATTGGTCTATGGAAACGAGACGATGGAGACAAGAGTGGACGCTCCGCAGTTTGAAACTCCATTTCGCCGTCCGTCACTTATCAGAAGGTAAAACTGTTCATTATTATTGCTATAAGCTGCATTAATAATACAATTAAAATTTATTAAATATATAATAGAATGTAAATAATTTTAATATAATTCGCGATGAAATATTTTCTCGTAATAAAACGTGCAATTTTTAGTAACAAAAAAAAAATGTGTAACATTAAGAAAGCTTTATAATAAAAGATCGTGACAGCACGACTGATATTTATTTTAATGCGGTCATTTGTTCGATTTCGTGAGGCCTATCTATCTTTTCCTGTTTCTGTAAATTCAGGACATTATTCCGAGACACGCGAATTCGCGTAAATATCAGAGAGACAAAACTAACTGTCATGCAACTAAATTGGTAACAAAATCGACTTTCCGCTTTCTTTTGCTTCTTATTGGATTTTCGTGACATCTGATAAAGTACAGAGACGTATATTTCAAGACATTTCTCATAATTAAGTGAACGATTATATAAGTTATACTCTTTTTCTCATATCAAACGCTAAGTATTGCAGAGAATTAAATTCCATGCAATGCGATGAGCGACGTCTAATCGGAAACTTTTTAAAAATTGGAATCAATTTATAAAACTTGGAAATTAACGTAAAGTATATTATTAAAAGCTAATATCAAAAATTAATTAAAATTATTGTTATTGCGAAAAGGGGCACCAGCTTAAAGTGCAGCGGCGACTTCTACACGGACACGGAAACGTATTCGGCGTATGTACCTTACGAGGGTCAACATCGGGCCGAGCTCGCGCGTCGACCCACGTCCTTGAAGATGGAAGGCGAGCTGGACACTATGACGGAGAAATGCGAGAAGTTCATCGAGTGGCTCAACGTTAGTCGACCGGAACTCATGCGCATACCTACTCATTTGAAGATGGAGGGCGAGCTAGAGACGGCGACGGAAAATCAAGACAAATACGTTCCCTTCGTGGGTGCGCGAAGACCGGAATTGTTGAGACGGAGCACCAATTTGAAACTCGAGGGCGACACTTATTTCATACCGGAGTACACCGATGTATTCAGAGACTACAGTGGCAAAGGTAATAACGTTAAATTAAATTAATAGAAAAATAGGCTATAAAAATCTAAGTGTGCAAAACATCTTTTTTCTGTTAATTTGTTTGCTTTAGAATGATTACAGCCATTTCTCTTTTTTCTTGGGGTACATATTATAGATAGATTGCAGCCGAAGAAGCCTCAAACGCATTTGAAAGCCCAAGGCGACTTTTTTCAAAGCACAGAAAACACCGAAAATTTCGTTCATCCCAGCATTAAGCAGGCGCAAGAGACGTTCGAACGAATGAAAGACGATGATGAGGAGGAAGAATGGATGAAAGATCAAGAGGAGAAGCGTAAGAAGGAAGAAGAGATGAAAATGCTGATATCAAAGTTGGAAGATTTAAATGGTCGGTCGCTCGAAATTCCGGAGTATCGAGATGCGTACAAGGTATTTATTGTGCTATTTTAAATATAAAAAAAACATCTTTTCTACTTTGCACGGGAAATGTGTTTGAGATCGATATCCAATTACTTTAGGATTTTCCACGCGAACGACCGAAGATCACGAAGCCGGATGACGAGATTGGCCGTGCCGACGGCTCTAAGGTATCCTCGCCGTCGCGTTCCAAATTTTGCATGAAGATTGATCAAGATCCGGAATACCAATCCAAGTATCTCGAGTATCCGCGGGACCGTCCTATCTATCGTAAGCCACCGCCGATGCTGCGACCGACGAGGATCTCCTCCTCTGGGCGCAACAGCGCCTGCCTCGGCAGACCGATTCATTATCAGGAATGTCGCATGTTTGAGTACGAACCTACTAGCGAGGTGAGATCCCAATATGTGCCTTACGGATACGTACCAAAAGTCGAGACACTGAAAATGCCGACAAATCTGCGGCTGGAGGGTAACTTTGACCTTCAGCCGGAATATAGAAACGCCTATTGCGCGAGATACGATCGTCAGGGCTACGGTGAATCTAAAACAACCTGCGGCAGGAACGAACGCAGTCCGAGCGCTACGAAGAGAAAAGAGAATTACTGGTTGAGCGATAATAATGATGGTCGGTGCGATAGAACAGCTGTAGGCCAAGGACAGGACGCTTTTTGTGTGCTGGACACGCGGATTCACGAAGACAACGTCACTGGAAAACCGCCGCCGGCCAGCAGAAAGTATATTAAAATTTATTCGTATTTGATTAAAGAAAGAAAATCCTTGACTTATAATTCAAGGCGAGCGAGCCGAGATTAATGTCTTAAAGTTTCTCTTTTAAAATCGAGTCTTTATAGATGAAGATTTTTAGACTTTAAGATTCTTGTTTTCCCTAATGTAATTATATTGAATATCGGAAGCGAGAATTTTTTGAACTTAAAAATCCACACTTTTTTTACGCCAAATTTTTTACTCTAAAAACAATCGCAATTTTCAGAGGTTCCAGGCTGTCTCAAGTCACTGTGGCGCCGAGACCGACGCAGATAGAAGTAGCGGATCGCACAATCGCCACAAGAACGCGATCCCCCAGTCCAACGTATCGGCTTCAAGTGTGCGACGTCGACAACGAACCGCGAGGTTTCGGCCGACCCGGCCAGTTCTCCGGAAGAGTACGCAGCCCTTCGGCCGATCGTTTGATTCAAAATAACGTCACCAGACCGTACTCGCCCAGCTTCGGCAGGGACAAGCAGAATCGTCGCGCCAACGATCAACCATTCGTCATTTTAAATAACGCCTCGAAAAGTGTATCGGGTAAAAGCGAAGCTCGCAAAAGACGTACCGACAGAAACGTCGATGTCACGATACCGATCTCTCGCGGAAGAACGCCTAGAACGCCGACCAGGTGGATGCCACCGTGGTACGACAATACGAACACGATCTAAACCTCGGTCGGTCGTAGAGCTCACTGAAGAAGTGTGTTCCATAGATCATATTCTGCTACTTGTAATTTTTACACAACGCAAATGAAAGGAAACGATAAATGGACACTGCCTATAACTTCATACGTAGTTAATCCGGGAATGATGGCATGGAATCTTTTAGATTCTAAGAATTATTGTAATAATAAGCCGCTAAGTGTATGTATTTTTTTTTTTTTTTTTTTGGTATATTTTTTTATAGGTTTTTTTTTCCAGAAAATAAAAAGATTTATATCGTAATGTCCTCGAATATTAATAAAATGCAGAGTAGTCTATGATATGCAATATATTGTATTGATTTTTAGATAGGGTCTAAAAACATGCCACGCAATCTTCCACGCAAAACAAAAACAAACCACGCGATCATTCCCAGGATAACTGAAGCCAATGAAAAAGAAATGATTAATTCCAATTTGGTTCGTGGATATTTGTGTATGTATTTTATCATAACGTATAGAGCGACTATTAATCTTCCTTACACAGATTCTCTAAAAAAATTTACTAGGGATAAAATGTACACGATCTTCTACAAAAGCAAAACTCAGAATTAATCATAATCATTCAGGGCTAAATGTGAGACATGAGTAGATCTGTAATTCATTCTACGTCCGCATCTTAACGCACAATAAGCAGTAAGGATAAGTAGTCGCGAAATGAATATTAAAGTATCTTTCATTCTATTGAAGAATATAAAGTTGTAATTGATAGATATTTAAGTTTTTGAAATCTCAAAGAAAATTTATTTTAGATGAACTATGAAATTGTTAGATTTTTAACTGTTCTGGTTCGATATATCAACGCATGTTAATTGTTACAACCGCAGTAGATTAAACAAGATACCTCGTACTACTGCCAATATTTGTTAATCTGTATGATATCAAATATATGGACGATGTCCAATTTTATTTGTAGTGGCCTTTATTTGAAATGTCACTTTGTGGATTGCGATAAAATTGCATTACACTCCATTGTTGTACGTAAATAATTTCCTAATAATTTTATTATAATATTAATTTCTATCTAATACTGTCAAAATCATTTTGCATAACAACTATTTATTAATTTATTATTATCAAAGTTAATATATTATTTTTTAATTATTATTAAAGCGCTATGTCGAAAATTGTGACTTAAAAATTTATTATGTTATTAAAAGAATATTTTAGTGCGCAATGAATTGAAGTAAGCTATTTCAAAATCGAGTTCGATAATGTTGAAAATCTAGTTATATATTTAGCCAATCAGAAGCAAAGAAATTTTTGCTGTTTGGACAAATCTCATGTTCAAGGCCTTTATTTTCTCCGAGATTGACGATCTTTATTATTATCTACTCGATGATAGTTTGATCGCGCGGCACCAGTGATCAGTAGTCCACGTCAGTTGCTCTGTTCAGCCCTGTTTATACAGCTTCTTGGTGATATAACCTGTGAACAGTGTATTCTTCGAAACGTGTGAAACTACGTAGCGCTTGATAAATGAAACGTTTATGCAGATGACAAGTTATTTAAATATTCTCTAGCGTAGATAAGGTATTTGATGAGGTCTCTCAAGTCGGTTGAAATTGCACCGAGTGTACGAGACGAACGTAATAATCGGCAATAATATTCTGAATATCGACGAGTAACGTAACGTATTTTTCCTTTCCGACAGTGTAGCAAAATGCATTGGACGCTATGCGCACTGATCATCGGATCGTTCGGATGCAAATATATACATGCTCAGGCGCAACGGGTCGCGCCGGGTGTACCGCCGCAGCATTATCAACAGGTAGGTTATGTTCTTGAATGTGTTGGCAAACATATGGTACGATTGCTTCGCAGTGTGTGACGTGGAAGCTCACTTCAAAGTGTTTACATGGCTTGAACAGTAATTATTGTTTCTATCTTCGTACGTATATAAGGCGTTATAATATCGCATATCTTTTTCGCTTTGTTTGTTTTAGCCTGTTCAGTTACCGCAACATCCACATCATGTTCCACAACAGCAACAAGTAAATTACAATTATGAATCGTTTAAATATTTTTTAGCAGTATTATAAATTTTTAGAATAATATTATTAATCTATTGACCAAAACTACTGTCTATGATATTGCTACAGTATGTTTCTGCTTTGACTGTTTTTCTCAGTGCTGGCTTTCAGTTTATAAATTAACTTTAAATTTGATTGATCTGATTTACTGAAAAATGTGCTTTAGTATCAACAAATGCCGGTACAGCAAGTGCCACAGCAAGTGCCACAGCAAGTGCCACAGCAGGTGCAACAGCAGGTCCCTGTCCAGCAAGTACCAGTGCAACAAATACCTCTGCAACAGCAAGCAACTATGCAACAAGTACCTGTACAACAAGTGCCTGTTCAACAGCAGCCTCAGATTCAACAAGGGCAAGGACACGGACACGGACACGGACATGGTCACGGACAACAACCTCAAATACTTAATCCTGCCAATATAGCTCACGAGAAAGAGTAAGTATTGATTGATTAAAAGTCTGTGTCAATAATTGATCTTAGATTTAATTTGTATTAATTAACTAGAGTAGAATTGATTTTCTTTTAATAAACTCGAGCGTCTAAGATTTTTACTTAATCCCAAGTTTTAATTGTTAATAAATTGAGGGTTGTGATGTTACATGTGTATTTTTCTCCCTACTAGACATATTGCAGAGCATGCTGATGTTCCGATAGATACCAGCAAAATGTCAGACCAAGAGCTGCAGTTTCACTATTTTAAAATGCACGATGCCGATAACAACAATAAGTTAGATGGTTGCGAGCTTATCAAGTCTCTCATACACTGGCATGGTGTGTATAAATTAACATTTTATCTGTCTTATAGCATTTTTACATTGCAAATTTATTGTGTCTATTATGTCTATAGAGCAAGGCAACTCAGAAACTGGTGAAGCGCAAGACAAATTGTTCAAAGATGAGGAATTGGTACAGCTGATAGACCCAATACTCAGTATGGATGATACTAACAACGATGGCTACATCGATTATCCCGAGTTTATTCAAGCGCAACAGAACGCCGCAGCTAATACTCGTGGATAATTGTACCCTCATTCCTTACCTTCCTGCCACAACTTATTCGAACTGGAGTTTGTAAAGATTATATAGCGACGAAATCTGATTTTACAATGGATGTGTCATGATGCAGTATCAACATTGTACCGTTTACATCATGTGCATGATAATGCATTTGTTAAAGGCTGAGTTCTGTTGATATTTGTGATAATTCATTCTTCATTGACCTAGTTATAAGTGATGATAAAAAAAGAGGAAACTTAGCTTTTTATATGTATTATCGGTATCATATATATATAAATATATATATATATACATATTGTCGTACGATTAAAAAAATTTAGGGATATGGTACTCTTCTTGATGATTACATTTCAGGAGATTAATTTTATAATGAAAGTATTTACTGCAGATTATTGCTCTTTAAAAAATGGTTGTAAAATTTATATATTACTCATTTTAGTGTTATTAAACTGGGTTTTTTTTTTTTGATATAATAGAAGACTATTTTTAGAAGAGTGTTTTATAGAAAACCTCCGTGCTCTGTTAACAAATAAACGGTCAATTATTTATTAGTTCTTATTGTTGTTCAATTGAAATACATAAAAAGTGATAGAATTTAAGTTTATATAATGAACTTTATATTATAATAATAGATGTTTCGTTTTTTTAGTAAATATTTCTACATGGTACTTACAAAGCATAACAGACACATTTTATATACAATAATATATGTACATATATTCTTTACCTGACAATATGCAACAATTTATATAGATAAGAGTAAATTTAATGGATATATAAAGAAATCAATTAGTTTGATCGTTTTAAAAATTATCGTATTTTCATATTAAAATGCTATTATTACTAATCACAGGCACAAAAAACACGTGCAACTTTATATAACGCAAACGAGCGTGTCATGACGTGAAATTTCTTTTTATATTTTTAGGGAATATTACAAATCTCTTGAGATTTTACTAGTCTAGCATAGACATAAGTATACAACGTGGTATGAAAATATGATAGGCGTATTTGAATGACTAGATTGGTACTAGATTTAAACGCGACTCACCTTCGTATGTTCATTTATAAATACATTCCATTTACCAAATAATCGGCATCGTGCGCGTAAGGTCCATGCCCGCATCTTCCACGCCGTTTCACCACACGTAAACGGCAAACAATTAAAGCAGCCGTGATCGCGGTTGCTATTAATCCCAATGACAATGACACTACCGCACCTTTCGGCCTCAAAACGTCATTTTCTATTATTTGAAGATGTTCTGCGACAATGTCGGTTTTCTCGTGCGGTCTCACATGCTTCTCGATTATAATCACATTTTTACGATCATGGTCTGAAAAATGTAAACTGTATACAGTGAGAAATTAAACCAATGTAATATAGACGTATGAAAAACTCGGCTACGTCACGTTACCTTTTTGTTCTTTCGCATTATGCTTGGAAACGACGCTTGTTGATGGAGTTGGTTTTTCAGTGACTTGTTTGACTGCCTTCGCATGTGTCAGATGCGTAACAGGTTTCTCTTCTTTCTTTACAGGTTCTTTATTCTGCGTCAACTCATCTTTATGCTCCTCGGAAGTCTAACAATAAAAAATTATTGTTTTATGAGAGAAACATATCTTCAAGATTTTATGACATGACAACTTGAGTTATACAAAGAGCTGCTTACATCACAGGCGGGTGTTGTCGTAATTTTTGTAGGATTTTCTACATCACTGAGTTGCTTGTGTTGAAAACTTGGTGCGACGGATGGCGAGGGTTGCACTGGATTCTCTTGCCACGCTGCCTTGTTTGGTGACGGAAAGTGTGAGGTGTATGCATGCTTGGGATCCACGTACAGCCCCCTAACATAAAACATATATAATGCTACAAGGCGATGCTAAAGAAATATATCTGGTAATCTTCTAATGTAATATTAACTTAATAATATTCTAATTTTTTTTTTCAATATATTCTAAAAATTCTGATAATATAATTTGACACTTTTAATTTTTTTATTTTAAACAATAATAGCAAGTTAATATTTCGAATTACCTGTCTGCTTCATTGTTTTCTATGACGCTTGTACCTTTATGATTAAATATATGTGGTTGTTCTGGAAACATATACAATATAAATTTGTGGCATTCAACGATGGTTATACAGTAGACGCAAAAGGAAAAATTTCACGTACGTTCATAGGGATTTATATTTGGTTCGCGGAAGTTGTTAACAGGAACGTACGGATCCTTGTTTTGCTCATACAACGGCTGATAATCCCACTGATATCCCGGTGATCCGTAATTCTTACGCATTTGCGGCATCTCTACCGATTGACCTGGATACAGAATACTTTGTGGCTGTGGTATTTGATGAACGAGATTCGGTATCTCCCAAGTTTTAGGATTGATCTCCGGTGCGGCAGGATAGAACGAAGCAAGGGGCTTGTGCTGATCGATTATTTGCTGATATCTCAGAATGTCGGCAGGCGGATGCGGCACCTGTATGATCGGAGGGACCGTCGGTTTCTCCGTGGGACATATAAGATCGGCTGCTTCGTCGGAGCCATCCGCGCACTGCGGGATGCCGTCGCAAACGTTGTATATAGCTATGCAGTCTCCGGATGAACGACACTCGTATTGATTTCTGGTGCAAGCTGTTATTGGCGAGAAATTGACATCTTATTAGACAAATAGTTGTTTATTTGTATTAATATCAATCTAGAAATTTTCTCAATTGTCTACAACTTTGAGATTTTTAATGTTTGGAGTAACACTATACCTGGTTTAACTGGCGCAAGTGTAGTTGTTATTATTACTTTTGGTGCTTGTGTGACTATGGGCTTGACAGGAACCTCTGTGAATCCATAATCCTGCGTAACTTCATTATTTTTTCTGAGACACAAGAAAATTTTAATTAACAAGTTGAAGAGAAAAATGTATTCAGGAAATAGATAAATACCTAAGTGACTTTAATTCATGTTCTTGTTGAGATATTCTAACTTCTTTCAATTGTCCTACATTCTGTGTGGGATAATTGGTGCGTACAGCACTAGTGTAATTGGCGTGCCACGTAAATTTGCACTTGAAGTCATGTAATGGTCCACATTGAAAAAGGTAGCAGCTTCCAGGTTTCTATAAAAGATAATATTCATCAAAATAAAACAATTATCCTAACATTATGTGTTTGTCTAAATAATAAGTATTATACATGTTTTTCTATATAAATTTATCTTGATATTGTATATTTTACAAGATACAGTAGTCCCTGAACATTGTATCATTTTGTTCTGATTAAAAGATAAAAATTTATATCCATCCTTCTAGCAAGTATATGAGTCTTATCTGACATAGATTTTTTCATAACACTTTATCTTGCTTGCTCTGTTGTCATGCAATATCATCTCAGTCTTGCTTTAACAAGCCTTCAGAAAAATGTGAGAAAAGTGCAATTCTTCAAAGCCTTGTTGTAAGATATGCAATCTCCGACAACAATTTTATAACCAAGGACTACTATATTTTGTGTCTATATTATATTCTATAATTTACTTTTTCTTCGAAGATAAATACGTCGCACCGCTCGGTCTCGCAGCAGTATTTCAAGCAATCTAATCTGGAATCCACGTCTAATACACTCAAGTACTTGGCACCCATGTCACGGGAGTCCTGAGTCTTGATGATTTTGTCTCTGTGAATGTCAAAGCTCTCAAGGCACATCTCATAATCATTCGTACCGCCGTGTCTCTTCTCACTTGCATTCTTAATCGCATCGTCATTCGAAAATGCACAGTGAAGAATTGCAACGAAAATTAAAAGGATATATCGCTCTTCGCGAAACATCATTCCCTTTGATACATCACACAGGTGTCCAAGTTGCGCGCGTCTGCGTGTTGCAATCGATAGATTCAATCTTTCTCTTTAAATGATGAAGTTTATCTTCAACCTCTCATCTTTTATAATTAAACAAACGCAATAGAACGTGCTGTTGTATGGATTCATCATTTCCTCTTATGTTTCGTTAAGTTCTAATTTAATTAAATTTCGCCGCCTTAGCACGCGACAGAAACGCATCGTCAAAACTGCATTTGCAATAAACGTTATTAATGTTTCATATTTTGCTTTGGGATATTTGTTTTAAGTTGTTTCAACAAGTTTTTTAAACAATTAAATATATATATATAGACGAAGCATTCTGTCCAAATTCCACAAAATGCAATAAAATGTCAAAATTTAAAAGAATATAATAAAATAGAACGAAATGCAAAGTTACAAATCAACTATCTCTTTCTAAGCGCCATTTTGGCTTCACTTTAGACGAATCGCTTAGTGTATCTATATCAATATGTTTGTCTATGGTTTACTTACCAGTTAATTGTGTCCTTTTAAAGAATAAGGTTAAGTGTTAAATGCAGTTGATTAATGTATAAATATTAGTATAAATCATGTCTTTGTATGATGATTTTGATAAGCATCGGACCACAGAGAAGGTCGCGGGGTGGTCTTCCGGTATTAAATTGCTGCAATCGCAGTTACAACTGAAAAAGGCCGCTACGACACAGGTAAGTCAATCATAAACACTACATGTAGAATTATAATAATTGTCTATGAAAAACTCTGTAACTTCTTAACAATCTCTACTTTTTCAAAATCTAGATTTAAGATAATTATGAAAATAGCATCTAATTATTTTTTGTTTATGGCAATTTGTAGCCAAAGCGTGAACAATACAGGAAGGCTACTGCAGTACTTGCACCGGTGATAGATTTGAAGTCAAAAGCCAATCGAGACGTGGACAGAGAGGATGATAGCGGTTCTAACAATCCGCTGTCTACCGGCAACATAGGAGTAGGTAGTGAATTTGACTGGAATGTGGTAAACGAATACGATCCCATGTGGCCTAATGAGTACGAGAAGGTTGTGAAAGAATTACGTGACATTAGGGACAGAGAGCACGATCAAGAGACAGAAATGCGCAAACGTAGGAGAGATAATACACGCTTTGAAGACACACAGGTAACATGCGATAAGTCTACCTATTTTTATACATGCCAACGTTGAGTATTGTAACAATAATATTGAAATACTTATTAGCAACAGCCTGCTGCTGGTAACAGCACAATGATACCTCCTGAAAGAGACGAAGAGAGAACACCAACCTCAAGAGCTGTAATCGGAGGAGCTGCTATAGCACCACCACCATCGTTACAAGAGTCGTCGGAATTGCCACCTCCACCACCGCGACAACAGCAGCCTAGTGCTAGTGCTAGTGCCAGTGCTAGTGCTAGTTTGGGCTACGCGACATCTTCTGTGGCAGCGAAAATAATGGCCAAGTATGGCTTTAAGGAAGGACAAGGTCTTGGTAAGAAAGAACAGGGCATGTCCGTAGCACTGCAGGTTGAGAAAACCAGTAAACGTGGTGGAAGAATAGTTGGGGAAAGAGAGCAATTAATGCCTCCACCACCGCCTCTCACGGCTTCCCCACCACAGTCGCAATCGCAATTACTGCTACAAATGCAACAGCCACAGGAAGAACCCAGCATCACCGAGATAATGAAAAGTCCAAGCAAGGTTGGTAGAATTTTTTAATTGAAGTACTTAAAACATATTTTATAAAAAAAATATGTACTTTAATATTATTGAATATATTTTAATTTATTAAGAGATTATGGAGAAAAGTATGCAATATTTTGTATATGTGATAATTATTTGTCAAACTTTAAATGTGTATTTTTCGCTTTAGGTTGTACTGTTACGCAATATGGTCGGCCCCGGAGAGGTGGATGATGATCTTGAACCGGAAGTGAAAGACGAGTGTAACACCAAGTACGGCGACGTTGCACGTGTTATTATTCACGAAGTGATTGAGGCTGCTCCAGAAGAGGCAGTGCGAATCTTTGTCGAGTTTAAGAGGATAGAAAGCGCTATCAAAGCCGTGGTCGATTTAAACGGACGTTTCTTCGGCGGTAGGCAAGTCAAAGCGGGATTCTATTCTAGTGAAAAACTCGATAATTTACAATTAATGGACTAACTTAACAAGTTTTATATGTAAGGGCTGTAAACATTTAGTTCAATATCATTCCCCTTATATCAAAACCATAAATGTGCAAATTTTCTTCAATCTCGTTTGTGAAATTTATTTTGTGCTACTTGATTTTGTATTTACCGAGCTTCAAAGCCTACTTTAGATCAGTGCTCGGAATTACTTCAGCTTTTTAGCCGATTCTCACGGCACACGCCTCCTTTCCTCTCCTTACCGCGCGCACCGCAGCCACTTGGGCCAGCGCCGTCGAGCGTTAGGAAGAGCGCTATCCGATTAATGTTGGATTCTTCTCTCTTGATCGTTAAAAGTTAAAAAAATATTTTTTTCCTTAATAGCAATAGTACCTCATGGGTGACGTAGAAATCTATTGAAATATTTCCATATAATAAATTTAAAAATGCAAAAAATATTTTATAGCGCCGCTTCTAACGCTCGGCGACGCTGGCCCAATCGGCTGCGGCGCGCGCGATAAGGAGAGGAAAGGATGCGTGTGCCGCGAGAATCGGCTGAAAAGCTGAAGTAATTCCGAGCACTGCTTTAGATAATACGCACGAAATAAATTTCACAAAGAAAAACGAGGTTGAAGAAAATGTACACATTCATGGCATAAGAGGAACGATATGATCTTGTTTCTTTCATGAACTGTACAAATATTTTATATTTCATCCTTATCATAATAATGTTAATTTCGTTATGTATATGTGCTTAGCGAGAATATTTATGACAAATTGTAAAAAAATAAATTTTTCAATTATGATATCTAAAATTTATTTTTTCAGTATAATTTACAGTTATTTATATTTATCTTAACTATATTTCGTCGATATATTCAAGATTTTTCATATAAAATTATTTTTATAAATATATTTAACAAAATAGCAATTTATATTTTATTATAATAATTTAACAGATATATAGTAAACATAAAAAAGCAAAAGTAAAAAATAAAGTACTTATAGATATTCGGCAAAACTAAGTATCATAAGCATTTGTATGAATGAACATTCTATATATTTTAAGTCAGTGGCGTAGCCAGAGGGGGGGGCTGTGGGGGCTGCAGCCCCCCCGAAATTCTTAATAATTTTAATAATTTCATAGCTGATCACAAAAGTGAATTTCTGTCATATATGCTGTTTCACGCATTTAATATGCTTCACTCAGAAACGTATGCCTCGCTTTCCTTCGTAGTCCAGTCGTCAAAATCTTTTACTACCTTTACAGTTCATCGAGTTTATATTTTTCCGACTTATTTTATTATAGTTTAATATAGTTTCCGACTATTATTTATTATAGTTATTTTATTTCCGTGGAAATAAAATCTAATATTTTTATACAATAAAGATCCGACAATGACTTTTGCCCAATTTGCACACACTACTGCAAATATTAGCAACTTTAGCGATTTCTACAGCAACAGTCGAACGCAGCTTCTCAACATTAAAAAGATTAAAAACCTATTTAAGAAATAGTACTGGACAAACGAGACTTACTGGTCTTGCTTTAATGAGCATTCATCGGGAACTACATGTCGATGATGACATTTTGCTTAATAAATTTTTAACTAAAAAGAATCGTCGAATACAATTATAGATTGTAATAACATTAACTTCACACGAGTATAATATATAAAAATTGGCATTCTACGTTTAAATTTTTTGTTAAATGTTAAAAATTTCAATGTTAAAAAACATTCACAGTTCTATTACAATTTTGTTTTAATTTAATATAAATTGGTTTTAAAATCAAACTCAAATGACAAAGTCGTGAGCATAGCATAAAAATTATATTAAAAAAAAAAATATATATATATATATATATATATATATATAATAAATAAAAACAAAAAAAAATAAAATAAATAAAATAAAAAATAAAAAATAAATACTAAAAAAAAAAAACACACAC